CCTCACCCTTCCGGCTTCTCACCTGCGCAAGCAAGTCAGAAAGCATTCCTAGCAGGTTGACCGCCACTATTTCTCAGCACATAAAGGCCAAAAAAAAAAAAAGAAGAACAAATAGTCTTTATCTCTTCTGTCCATGGTCAGTGCTTCCCAGAAACTGCCTCCTCTAATCCATCACTACCCCCGCCCAGGGAAAGTGCGAGAGATGGCCACACGCGGCGCACGGTGACCACACACAGACACACCCCTTCTGCTTGGTGCACACCACCAGCCTGGCCCCCCACTGATACTGGCCAAGAGTCTCCTCACTCCCTCTCCCTCTGGTGAGGATGATAATGAAGGAAAAGATGTAACAATAGTTCAATTACCACTACGGGCAAAAGACTGAAGTAGAAAATGTTTAACTTTAGGGCCCTTTTCATACTCTTCATCCATGCCTGCTAGTCCAGAAGGATCCCGGAGGCAGAGCCTTTCTATTGCCTTCTGACTATGTGCAGATTCAAGTGGTCATTACATCTCACGCAATCCACTGCCGCTGCCTCCCTAGCTCCCATCCTGACCCGCTCCAATTCCACGCTCCCACGTCAGATTAATTTTCTGAAAACACAGGTTCTGATCACGCTTTTGTTTGCAATTCCAATTAGACTTGTATCATGCTAACGCGCATTATGGTTATGTGTGCACGTGTTGTGTTTCCTCCAATAAACTATAAAATCGTGCAAGGACCCAGATTATATCACTCATCTTCAACGATCTTCACTCATTTATTCAAAATATTTCTAACAAACACATGCTATGAAACAGGCACTGTGCTAGTCCCTAGAGAAATGAGTCAGGCCATTCCCTTCGATTTGCTTAAAATCTATTGGAGGTGGCAGGGGTTACAGCCATGTAAACAGAAAACTGTAATAAATATAAAATTATTTAAATATTATAATATGATTGCAATATATAGTATGTTATGATTGCACAGGCACAAATTAATACAGGATCACATAAAAAGGACTCCTACTAAACTCAGATAAAGAAAGGCTACTCCGTAATGTCTACATAAGCCAGTGTGTGTGGAAAACCAGGCACTCTAGGCTGCCCATTAAGACTAGACCTGTGGCCAATGACAAGGCCTAAGAAATACACAGGGACCAGATAAATAAAAGGGCTTGAAAGCCACATTGAAAGTGTTGAATTGTTTCAGTAAGATGAGAGATCTGATCAGATTTGTACTTTCAAACAGCCACTCTCATTAGAGTGTAGTAGTCACTCGAAATGTCTGTTGAACATGTAAATAGTTAAGTGAATTAAAGTTAATTAAAAATATTTCAGAAATTCAAACAGTAGAGAAATCAGTGAACCATTGCAGCCACGATGCCCCAGAATGGATACACAGCAGAGTTTAACTCGGCTTTTTAAAAAGCAGATTTTGATGGGGCGATTCAAAGCAGGGAAGAGAATGAGCCAAGAGGTGGTTGAGCAACGGAGTGGCGGGAAGGCATAGAAGAAGGAATAGTTTCGTTTAGTGGGTGCTAGGTCTGGACAGGTGGCGGAGGCCTTGAATGCCAGGTTCACGGTTTAGAATTTACCAGCTAAGACACCGTTTACCAAGGCATTTGAAAGAAAAGAGTATTGCTACTGGAAGACTAAATACGAATTGAAAGAGGTTAAAAACAGGGTTCCAACAACTAGGTGACAGCAGGAATGTGAGCAGAAAAACAGATGACGCAGGAGATGGGCTGCAAGACACATCCAGACTTGGAGGCAGAAGCAAAAGTGCCAGGCTGGTGACAGTGTGGGACAAAGGTCTCCCCAACTCCAACCTGCCGTACCCCTCCCACACTGCCGTACCCCAAAGACCCTGCCTGGGAGACTGCCCATCTGGATGGAGGCATTTCCAACAGCTTAGTGTGATAATTTCAGGAATCGAATCTTCCCTTTTATCGGGCTGTTTAACCAGTGTCTTCACATAAGAATTTGGATGTAAGGTGTCTGAGAAGAAGAAATGAAGGAAAAGGGACATTTGGAGAATGAGAAAGGAACATCTGAACAAACAAAAGGCAGCTCTGAAGCAATTCTTAATCCCCCAGATTAATAACCCGGGGATATTCAGACATTTGGGGCTTCCCTGTGTGTTCCGGGAACTCACTTTGATACATCACATAGACTTACACCAGAAACAAGACCCCAGGGACCCATCTGGCTAAAAGGGTTCCCTACCCTTCATTGTTTAGGTTGCTGCTGCTACCTAACTCTTTGTAGCCTCAGTGACCATAAGAAGCAAAACAATAAATGGAATTGTTCTAGTGTCTCCAGTTTGAACTCAGGTCACTTTGGTACCCCAAAGCAACAAGTTAATTTAATTTACTGAAAAAAATATTAGAAAACCTTCCAAAATTGTCTAGCAAGCTTCCGGAGTTCCCTAGTCTATTACCTGAGAGAAGCTGACTTAATAAATACCACCGCCCTCATCCAAAGGAACAATGTCACTTGTAGATGAATCTTGTAAAAGAGTCAATAAATTCCTGGCCCACAGAATCTTCTCGGCCTTTTTCAAAGTCATAAAATCAAGTTTCTGACAATAGACCCAGACACAATAGATGGTTTACTCTACTCCGTTACAGAAGTTAACTGACTGTTGCAATTCTTTAAGCTAAGGAGTCATTAATGGCCCTAAAATTTACCCCAAATTAGATGATGTCATGCTGGAGCATATACGAATGCCTTGACTCAAGTCCATCAATTGCCAGCAAATTAATGGATTCTTCTGGATTGGCAATTCATTTGTCATCATTTAACCGACAATTGTTGTTTTCATTTGGACTTTTTAGAACATCAAACAGATGTTTGCTGGGCCTGATTAAGTCGTAAATTTTCCTTGGCTTCCCTTTGTGCCCAAGCTAATTATGGGCTTCTTCCTGTCCCTTTTTGATGCCCACAAAAGCCATAATGAGGGTAGTTAAAAACGCAAACACGAGAATGAGAAACAAGGTGTCAACATACATATAATTTACTTGTTGAGACATACTACCTGCTAATAAACTGAGAATCATATTGCTAGTAAACTTAACCTGTTCTGCTAAATAATTTAGGCATATTTTCCAGTGTCCTCAACAGGGTGATTTGTGGGGTCTTTTGCCCCTTTAAAATTCATCAACACCTCCGGACACTGAAAGATAAGGAGATCATTTAAGTCAAAATAGTGTGTGGGCCCCAGATACGCGGCTTCAAGACAAGATCTTAAGCTTCCTTCCAAGTACACGACCATACCTAACTGGAAATACTGCAGTCAGCTCAGCTGTTTCCCCTACTTGAAAAGAAAAGAATGCAACTAGCCAGGAAACACTTAAGTTATTTGCTTTATTTTCTAAAATATCAACATAATATGCCCATGCATATCACTTTTTCCAACATTTTTCTCAGACATTAACCCAATATGATACCATGGCCAGAACTAGAACCATAGACAGTTTACTAAAGAACATGTATAAAGGGACCACAAAACCCTTCTAGGTCAAAGAGAGACCCCCTCTGATATCCCATGGCATCAGAAAATTCTACTTATTCTTGAGTACCGTGTACTTTAAAGGAAGCAAGATATTTCTAACAAAAAGAATATCAATCTGTCTATAATGTTATTAACAAGGAATTTATCTGATTAAAGTGTCCCGAACTGTTAACTAAGGTCAGATTCATTAGGAAATGCCAAATTTCCAAGAGTGGAGCATTTCCCAAACATCTTGGACCACAAAAAATTTTTGTAACAAACTAACATCACCGAAAAGTGACAGACAATAAGGAAAATACTGCATTCTGCTATCCAACAGCAGTTGGCAACTGTCAATGCGACAGGAACAGAAGAGAAAATAAAAAGCACTGAGTTAACTGAATGTTTGAAAGGGAGGGGGGGTTTGGGGACAATGCAGAAAGCACTCTTCACCTACTTCACAATTTTAAGAACTACCCAAACATACAATATTTATTATAGAAATAATTAGGAATGATTTTACTTTTATGTTTCCCAACAGGTATGATCTTTAACTGCTCCCAGAGAGTTCAAGGCTGTCCTTAAACCCAAGGTACTACCAAATGCCTGGATACACCCGGATGACACTGTGTGTATGTACCGAAAAACGCACCTTTTTATTCCGAATGAATATTAGCATCACACGCTTGAGCTGACAGATGACGAAGAACTAGCACTCTAAACCCAGGCTGCCACCAGCCGATCATCAAATCGTGACCCTGGCCTCAAGGCCCCACTTGCCCATCTTCACGGTGGGCCTTCGGCTCTAGACTCCTCGTGCAGCGCACACAGGAGCCGGGGCTGCAACGGCAGCGGGTACCCCGGGCAGCTGCTAAGGAGAGTGGCATGTGGTGTCTTCTGCCTTGCTAACTTTATAGGAAGTGTGTAAGCAGTTGTCTTTTGGGGACGATTTAAGTACGTCATTCCCATCTAAAAAGCGTCTTTTAAAGTGGCTTCCCGCCCTCGACTAGTACGAAAACTTTTTTTTTTTAAATAAGGCCGAGGACCGCTCTGTCGCCCGGGCCGGAGGGCAGCGGTGCGATCTCGGCTCACCGCGTCGCCGCAGCCTCCCCCTCCCGGGCTCCGGCCGTCCTCCTCGCTCAGCCTCCCGAGTGCCCAGGACGACAGGGGCCCCCATCGCGCCCCACTAAGCCTTCAATTTTCGGAGAGACGAGGTCTCGCTACGCCGCCCGGGCCGGCCTCCACTCCCAGCCTCAAGCGATCCTTCCCGCCTCGGCCTGCCGGAGCGCGGGAGCTGCGGGCGCGCCGCGCGCGTCTGCGAAATCCTGCGACTACGGCGTCTGACCTCCCAGGTCTTCGGGCACAAAGCCGCGATTTCCGGCTGCCCAGTCCCTGGGCAGAACGAGCCCTTCAGCCCGGCGCGACCCGGCGGGAGCCGAGCGCCGCCACCAGCCGCCGCCGCCCGCTCCGCGACGGGCGGAACCCTCCCCCCGCGCCGCCCCCGCACGGACCGCCGCCGCCCTACCTGGTTGAAGTGCAGCGCGCCCGGCTCCGCGGCGCCCGCGCGGGGGGCGGCTCCCAGCTGCCGCAGCAGTTGCCCGAGCTGCGCGGCCGACAGGCTGCGGTTCGCGCCGAACAGGCTCAGCACGTCCTCGCTGAAGGCGCGCGCGGGCCCCGCCGCCGCCGCTCCGAGCCCCGCGGCCGCCAGCAGCAGCAGCAGCGCGGCCAGCGCCCGGCGCGGGGCCATCCTGGCCGGGGCGCCCGCGAGGAGAGGCGTCGTGCCCGGGCGCGGGTCCAGTCGGCTGCGCGCGGCCGCGCTAGTTCTCCGCCGCCTCCGAGAGAGCCGCCGCCCGCGCCCTGCGGGTCATGGAAGGGGCCGCGCAGCCCGGGCAGCGACGGGCAGGGTGGGCGCCGGGCCTCCTGGAGAGCCTGAGATAAAGGGACAAAGCGGGTCAGAGAGAAAGGCCGCCAGCCGACGGCCGCGGGGCCGGGTTCGCGGTGTAGACACGCGCTCCCGCCGGGCGCAGCGCCCAGAGCGCGAAACCGCACCGGCCGCGGGTGCCGCCGCCTCTCCCCGCCGCGCCTGGACGGGGCCCGCGCGGTCCCCGGAGCGGCGGAACCGGCTCCCCTGGAGTCCCGCGGTTCGGGCGCTGGAACGGAGCCCCCTCCCGTCTCTTCTCGGGCCGGGCGAGTCGGAGGGACGCGCGGAGGACTCGCTGGCCTCTCACCTCCGCTGTCTCTGCGCGCGTCCGCGGGGCTCGGCGGGGGCCGGCGCTCCCTCTCCGCCGCCGGCAGGTCCGCCGCGCGCTTTACGCATCGGGCGGGGAGGCCTGTCCCCGCCCCCGCGGCACGTGGTGGCCGCCGCCCCGCCTGAGCCCCCGCCCCCGGCCCAGCGCTACCTGGTGCCACCTCCATGCCGCGGTCCCCAGCGCCCCTCTGGTCTCAGTGGCCCACGTCTTTGTTGCCTCGAAGAACCAGCTTCCTGGAGTGGAGTCGGGAGCGCTTTGCATTGTCTCGGTGATTAACAGGAATTGCTTTTTTTGTCTCACTTTTAAAATCAGAGAAGAAAGAGGAAATCAAAACCGGAGCGGTGGCGGGCTCGCTGCGCCAGCACTGCCCGAGCCGGCCCTTCCTGATGGGATATCCGCTGATCAGAGGAATGTTTGTTTGCACAGATTGGGGTTCAAGAAAAGCTGACTTAGGTGTGAGGTCAACAGGTCTGCGCAAAGAGCAGTGTTTGGGGCAAAGGTTGTGTCTGGCGGATGTAATTGTCCGGGAATGAAATAAATGAAACCGGGCTTCACCGTTCGATGCGACGCTCAGCAGAACTCGGGGTTTCAGTCTTGCCTTTCATCAGGACAGTGCCCAGTCTCCTAAACAGCACATTTTAAAAAGAAACACTAAGTCTAGACGAGGGCAAGGAGATGGGAAGGGAAAAGAAACTTCATCTCCTGAGAGAAACTCGGTGACGTGACTGTGGAAGAGGCAGGCAGAGGAAACTCCAGGCGGATCGGGATCTAGGTGGATGTAACTGAAGGGCTGTCGCCTGGAAGGGCATTCACCTGTGTCTGTGTGACTCCGGAGGACAGAGGGCAGCAGTAACAGGGCAAAGTCACCGAAGGGAAGAGTTTTCTGCAGAATTAGAAGTATCTGCAGGGAAGGCTCCTTTGGGAAATAGTGACTTCTCTGCGACTGCAAGTGATGCAGATCAACAGATCCTGGGCGACCCCTTACAGGTACATGGCGGAAGGATTTCTGCCTGCAAGGGAGATAGTCTTCGTCGTGCGTTCCACCCAATTACAAAATCTGTCCATTTGTCCATGATAATTTACAGAATTGCATTGATGCTAAAAGGGCAAGTATTTCACCTGGGGCCAGAAGTAAGTTGATGTCACAGTTGTGCTCTTAAATCACTTAGCTTGTGAGACTCTTCGAGCTTTTTACTTGATTTTAAAATATAATTTGTTGGCCATTTTTCCTTTAGACCTCCGTGACTCATGGTGGTTTTTGGAAATTAGTGAACCCTTTAAATGGCTCATCTATACCCAGTAAGTTGTTTATTTGCAGCTTGTCTGCAACTAAATTTGTTAATAAAGTATTGAATTTTTAAATAATACAAGTTTTATATTGTGGATTTTTTTTAAATATAATTTATTAGTCATTTATGTTTATGTACATACATTTTGCCAGCCCATCAACCCCACAAGACAAAACACAGTAAAATAATCATCCTGCTTGCCAGCTTTACCAAGTACGGTCAGCACAACGCAAGCATGCAACTATGGAGAAGCATTCAGAAAATTTCAAGTTACTAACTACCAAATAGGTAAGGCTAATTTCTAACTCTTCCACTCCAGTAAACTGTAATCACCAAAACACTATAGGTAGAGCATCTTTAATCCAAAAATCTGAAAATCCAGAATACTCCAAAATTCGAAACTTTTTGTGTGCCGACATGACGCCGCAAGTGGAAAATTCCACATGTGACCTCATTTGACAAGTGCACAAAATTATTAAAAATACTGTAAAAATTACCTTCAGCCTAGGCATATAAGGTATATATGAAACATAAATGAATTTTGTATTTAGACTTGGGTCTCATACTGAAGACATCTCAGTATGTATATGCAAATATTCCAAAATCTGAAAAAATATGAAATTAAAAAAAATTCGGGTCCTAAACATTTTGGACAAAGGATACTCAACCTGTACTTGAATAATGTTTTAAGGCCCAAAATATGGCATTCTATGGCATCTACAATCACTGAAGAAAAAGATTTCCAATTTAAAATATAAGGTATAATATATAAAACATACTTTTCTTGGAAATTTGCTTTAAAGGCCAAATGGTTTTAAATGATAATAATGAGGGTAGCATAGCAAGAAGACTGGCCAGAGTGTTGAAAAAGGTCCTTTCTATTTCTGACTCAGCCACCAGGGAAAGCTGGGAAAGTCATTTGCCCTGACCAAGATCAATTCTCTCATCTATAAAACAAGGTAATTGGGATAGAAGTATCCATTCCAGCCTTCTTATTTATAAATGTCTAATTTAGAAGGCATCTGTCAGAACAAAACGTTAAACACCTTCTAGATAAGTAAGATTTCAATTCCCCGGTGGAAAGGACGGTTAACTTCAAAATCTTGCTTTTTCTAATAGCTTCAAATTTTCTTAGTCCAAATCTTTTGTTACTATTGCAAATAAGGAGCAAATTCAACTCTTCTGAACCTTTTCGTGCATGCATTTCCCTGTGGAAGGGCTAAAAAGAAAACCTCAAAGATGGCATATCCTTTTCTCTTCTTCCCCTTCGCTTCTCTTCCTTGCCTTCTAATCCCAAAGCCATGAGATGGAGCATAGCACGATAAGATCTGTGTGGAGGGGCCACAGTGGCCCAAAGAGGGATGTTGGAGCTTGAACAAGGGGAAAAGGGAAATGTAGGACAGGAAGTAAGGGCCCGAGCAGGGTCATGAAGGTGTCCAGATTGGGGAAGGGACGTGGAAAATCAGAGGATGCATCCCTAATAGCGTAAGAGTGTGTGCGTGCACCCCAGCACGGGATATCAGAGCCCAAGTATGGTGAGAGGAGCGTCCTTCGCAGCATGATCTGTCAGAGCCCAAGGCGGAAGGGGAGGTATCCACGCAGAGCAGTGGCCTGGTGTGGGGGTCAGAGCCCGAGCAGAGAGTGGAGGCATCCACGGGTAGTCCAGGGAAGACAGAGAGAGCGAGCCAGGGTGGAAAGTCAAAGTGATAAAGGTGATAAAGGCATCCATGCTCATTGGTGACCATGCACAGAATGTCAGAGATGGGCAAGTGGCGGGGGGTGGGGCATGTCCCTCAAGAGCAGTAGCAGGAGGTGTCAGGCTCTATGCAGTGAAGAAGGCAGCCTGGCGTGGGGTATCGAACTCAAAGAAGATAAGGAAGGGATCAGTGGGGAAGGAGGTGGCAGCAGAAATACATTCATTATACATAGGAGATGTATTAAATAAGTAAATATATTAAAGGTTAGAGTAGCCAGTTTTCTCACTGTCAGAAAAGGAAGTTGCAAATATGGAGAAAGAGAAAATTAGAATGAACCCTATGGTCTTGGGTTGAAATTGGAGAGATCAGCGTCAATTCGTGGTTTCCGGCATAGAAACAGATAGATGTAAATGTAGCTATAGCTGATCTGTGGCTCTGTCCACTGAGGGGGCCTGAGGACCACGACACCCTAGTAGCGATGAGCATAACCAGCGCACGGAGCTCAGCTTCTCAATACTCTTCTCCGCTACGTGGAACCAGGGCGCTTCAGAAAAGGGGCTGATTCCAGGACTGGGCAGGCCAAGAACACGAACAAGAAGAACCTGGAATATCTTGTTGTACCTACCTGCAAGCAAGGGAATGGTCAAAGAATGTAAGAAATACGTATTAAATTATTCCTTGATAATGGGGCATCATCGTGCTCCGTGGATCAGCAACTTACTCTCAAACGAATCAGAAGGGGAAAGAAGGGTCTTTTTACAATGCTTGCAACTTTTCTGTAATTTGGTAATCATTTCAATTTAAAAATGAAAATATTGAGTACTAATAAGGAAAGGAGAAAGTTCCTGCAACAAATTACATTAAAATTCAAACTAAGATTTTGTAAAAATTTCAACCTGATACTTTTCAGTGAAATTAATTTATTCACTAATAAGTATTTTTAGCGTTTGCATCACAGTCCGTGCTGTCTAGGAATGCAAGAGTGAAAAGGATACACCTTGTTTTACTTTAAGAAGGTTAAGATTAGAGGGGTCGCGGTGGCGCCAGATGGGAGCACCTGTGTCCGCAGAGGATAGCAGGCAAATAATTCACAGAGCAGGTAACCCTTGAGCTTAAAGAGTAAGTAGAAGTTTGACAGAAAGACAAAGGAGGGGAAGCACATTCCAAGGTGCGGAAATGCAAACTAAAGAGCCCCAAGAGGCCCGAGAGAGCCAGGAAGACTGCCAGAGATTTCTTAGAACTGGAGAGCCTGGGGCAGAAAGGCAGGATCTGGCAGGATCAGGAAAAGTCCCAAAGTTCCACTGGGCCAAAGATGTCTTCATCTAGTGATGTTCCAAATATTCCTTATGATCATCTGTGATTAAAAAAAAAAATCTCCTCCATGAATACAAATCGCCTTTTTCTCGTTTTATATAACATTCATTCCTTATTATTACAAATACACCACACCTAAAATTCCCAAATAAGAGCAAGATAATGATTCTATCCGCATCATGTATGTCTATTCAGCTATCGATGCCAGAGACAATATAGGTGGGAATCAGATTTCTTTTAAGGCCTTTCTGAACTTAATTTCTAATCTTTAAAATAGGGGTTAACATAATACCTGCTCAATTTACATCACTGAATACCTGAAAACCAGATGGGATAAGGGGTGTGAAAACTCCTATCAACTGTAAAGCAGAATGTAGGGATTAACATAAACTGAATTGGGGCGACAATGTGGCTTATCTAAGGGGCCCAGCAAAGTGCCAATGGGAAAAGCACAAGAACAACCAAGGAGATCTTGGAACAAAAACTACTTTATACCTGACGAAATCCTTGAGGTTTGTTTCAGGAAATTAAGGCACTAATCAGAAAAGGGAAGAACCACAGATAACGTCAAGTCTGATCCGGTCGTTTTTGGGGAAAGGAGAAGAAAGCTCGGGGGAGGTGAGTGGCCTGGTCAAGTGACACACGTAGACCGGACAGACCCCAAACCTGCCTCTTCCCGTGTCACCACCGCAAGATGAACCCCGATCAGTGTTTCCAGGACAA